AAGAGGTAATCGGATTGGTGGGCTACACATGCTGGTTTTTATTCCCGCTCTACTTTGTAAGCATTGATGATTCCAGTGTGAAGAGAGCCAGAGCTGGTGCTTCAGCTGTCAGAAACTGGCACCAAACAGAGAAACATAAAGGGGGGAAAGATAAGTGAACAGGAGAAGGGGGAACGGTTAAAAGATGGAACAACATGGAGAAGGGTACTTGAAAAGGATTTTACTCCACTACATTTATTAAACAGCTTAAAGGGGACCTATCATGCAAAATGCACTTTTGTACGTCTTTTATACATGAATATGTGTCCCCGGTGTTCCAGGGAACTCACCAAGTGTCAGAAAACACAACCCTCTCTATTTTCCTCCATACCCAAATCTCTAAAAAAGGGGCTGCAACGGATCTGATAAAAACTGATCCAGATTTGAACATTTCTCTGACGTCAGGACGGAGGAGCTCCGCCTATATGGCCAACTCTCCACCTATCAGGGGAATGAGAGGTTGCCGTAGCATGGTAACAGCATGGTAACAGCATGGTAACAGCATGGTAACATGACGCTCGTAACTCGGCCCCCTCCTTTGCAGGGGGGCGTGGTCAGCTGCAGCGCATGCAAAGACAGGGTGAAGGAGAGCAAAATAGAGCGAAATGAGGCATGGCTAAAATGCATGATCTGTTTGGTATTTTGAAAAAGAAAACGTATAAATATACCTTATATAGGTATGGCCCTACAATATATTATTCAAATATAGCATGATAGGTCCACTTTAAAGGGGACCTATCATGCAAAATGCACTTTTGTACGTCTTTTAAACATGAATATGTGTCCCCGGTGTTCCAGGGAACTCACCAAGTGTCAGAAAACACAACCCTCTCTATTTTCCTCCATACCCAAATCTCTAAAAAAGGGGCTGCAACGGATCTGATAAAAACTGATCCAGATTTGAACACTGTCCTGACGTCAGGACGGTGGCGCTACGGCTATTGGGCCAACTCCACCAATCAGGAGGAGACAGCCACGGCCATTGCCGTTCGAAAGCGCTGGAGACGCTGTAGTACATATGCCAGGCCTGTAGATGGTGCTGTTCTCACTTGCAAAAACAGAGCTAAAAAAGTGCAAATTGAGCGAAATGAGGCATGGCTAAAATGCATGATCTGTTTGGTATTTTGAAAAAAAAAAGTATAAATATGCCTTATATAGGTATGGTCCTACAATATATTATTCAAATATAGCATGATAGGTCCACTTTAAGTTCCTTCATGCGGATAACACTTTTGCACTTTTACATAAGTAAGATTTTGAATGCAGGACTTTTAATTGTAATGAAGTATTTTGACAATAATGTATTGGTACTTTTACTCAAGTAAAGCATCTGAATACTTTTACTTTTGAGTAGCTCTAATTGGAAGAGAGGAGATGCACAGACAGAGCAGAGTTGCAGCATTCTTAAATTAGCTTAGCTGTGTCGTCAATGATGGCAGACCTGTCGACTTTTGGATTTCTTTACGAAAGGATTGTGTGCATGGGGCTGTCCAGCGTAGTCTAACATGTCCTGCCTCAGTTTCATACTGAGCTGAAATTATTTTTACACTTTATAACGAGCAGGCTGGGTGGTCCTTTGCCGCCATGTTGCAGTCTGTCACTAGACCTGTAGGCCGATTAGGGTGAAGGTAGTCAGGTTCCTGTATTTTTTTTAATGATATTTCTCGGGCTACCAGTACCTTTATTGAAGAGACCGAGTTGAAAGAGAAATGTATTTGTGGATAAAAAGGGATTTATGGTGAACCTGATCAGTTTGCAGAGGTGTGAGATCATGCTGAAAAGGGTCCAGTTTATGGACCGCCAGCTCTATGACGTGAGCCCCAGTCTGTATTTTTGACACTTTCCATCTCACAAACAAGAACAAAGAGATTGGATATATTACCATACGTATCCCTCTGGGTCTTCCATTGCATTGATCATATTTGTAGGTCATTGGGGAGGCTTAGGAGTCATGAATAATATGATTATTATCCCAACTGTTATGTTTTCAGCTGAATTTGCTGCTAGATCTATTCTCCTCATTTTATAAGAACGTCCTAAACAATAAAGAAACACTAAACTGTGGCTGTTTAACTGCACATGATGTGAGTCAGACAGTTATCCTGATCCAATAAGCTTCTTGTGCAGCCTTAGGTCTGACTCACCGTTACTCACCATACAGTATAAATGGTGGATCATTTTTCTGCTTCATTGATATGGATGTTGGATTATGGTCAGGTGATCAGGCTCAAACAGGAAACCAAAAAATAAAAGCACCATGTGACTCAGTTACAAGCCTCGGAATTAGCTGCAAATGTGACTCATTATAATGCACATAGCGTCAATAAGCAGTGAATGGAGAAGCACACTCTACTTTAGTAAGCATATCAACACAATGTTAATATACTCTATTACAACTAAGTCCTGAACATTTCAAGTACTAAAGAACTTGAATAAATTAAATGAGTCGCTCTTCCTCACTGGAAATAAGTGAGCTCATTATTTTTTTGTTAAATAACGGTAAAGGTCACACAAAAAAGAGAAACATATTTGTTCTCCTGTCAGAAAAAAAAAGGTATTTGTGGTGTTTTGTTCATTAGTTTCCAGAGGTGGTAGAAGCAATCAGGTTGTTAGTGGTAGTAAAAGTAGTAATTGAAAGACCTGCATTTGAAATCTTACTTAAAGGTCCCATGTCATGGCCATTTCTACTGATCATAATTCCATTGTTGAGGTCTACTAGAATAGATTTACATTGTTCAATGTTCCAAACTCACATTGGTTTCTCATACAGCATCTCTGTATAGTATGTGTATTCACTCTCTGTCCTAAACGGCTTGTTGGAGCTCCTGCCCGCCCCTCCCTATGAGCCCACTGTGCTCTGATACGTGTGTATGTGTTACAATGGCGTTAGCAACCAGAAAATGACACCAGCAATGACAAACAGATGAGAATGCTGCGTGGGGTCTGGGTGCCGTGTTGGCAGGACGTTGCGGGGCTCGCTGCTCCGCCCTTTGAGGCTCGAGGAGCGGACAGTGTGAGCTGTATTACTGGTGTCGTTTCCTGGTTGCTGTGTGGGGTCTGTGAGACAGGGAGACAGCGCGAAACTCAGCCTGAGCACACACACGTGAGTGTGTGGCGAACTGTGAGTGGAGATCCACGGAGCCGCAGCTGAGAAAAGATAAGGCTGAGTGAGTGTGTGTGCCGGCGAAACGCCGCGCAGCACTGCGGCTGAGAAAAGATAAGGCTGACTGAGTGTGTGTGTGTGTGTGTGTGAGAGGAGCTCCACGGATTGGTCCATTTGGACCTGGGTATCGTTACGTCACCATACCCAGGCAGAAAAAAATGGAAAAAGGAAAATGTCCAACGAGGCGTTCTGGGGCAGCATAGACAGGTCTTTTCTGTGTTAGAGTTTTACTCCCTACAGGGTGTACTTTGAGGGTTTGTGACTCTGCAGACCGTTTACATGCAGAAAAACCTTCATAACACACAAGGGGATGGGTAATAACCGGAAAAGCATTACATGGGACCGTTAAATAAAAGTAGAAAAGTATTGGCATCAAACTTAAAGTAAAAGTATTTCAGAATTGCATATCATAAAAAATACTGGATAATAATCACTGCTGGTAAAGAAGGAGCTCATTTTAATTTATCTGTATATAGCTGCTGGATATCTTAATTTGTATGTCAATGCTTATTTATTAGTCCATTTATATTCTGTATTAGCTGAAAATGAAACTAAAGCTGTCAGATAAATGTAGTGCATTAAAAAGTACAACATTGGCTTCTTTAAATGTGGTAGAGTGGAAGAAATAAGAAATACTTTAATATACAGCGTTACAACAGCAAAGCTACAGTGCAGCTAATAATAAAAAAAGAGTAGATTCAAATATCAAGGAGGAAAGCACACTCTAATAAAATCAAATCATATTGTCATGATCTCTCTGTTTCCCTCCTGTCTGATTACCTGATCGTATTCACCTGGAGCCCCTCTGCCCTCCACCTTTTATAGTCATGAGCAGTGTTTTTGCAGTGTTACATTGTGTATCAGTGTTGCTTATGTAGCATCAAATGATAATACTCAGGTAAAGTACTTGTATTTTCTTTTTTAAATACACAAAATCAACCCTTATTTCTCGGTTAAAAAAGGAAAAGATATTGAATTATTGACCTAAATTGACCACACAAGACCACAGATGCATAACATCCAAAACCTAATGAAAGTGATCATAATTATTTTCTTGGGAATAACGTAGTATGCAAGCAAACATGTTATTCTTCTGGCACTAACATAAAATAAACCTTTATACCGACATCATATGAGAACAGGTGAGATTTGACAAGGACAACAGGAAGGTTAAATACACTTGAGCATGTACTTTATTACTACAGTCAAATGCATTCATGTGTAACATCCACTCAAAGCAAGGTTTACTTTGCTGTTCCAATAGGTACTCAGTCTAACATGATAAAACACTGCCACCAAGTGGTGACTGCAGAGAAGTGCAGTGATTGGTCAGTAGGATGTCAGGACAGGATGACCCTACACACTCCCTCCCTACCCACAGCAGTCTGCATCTGTCTTTACCTCACCTGTTGTTCTACCTGACCTGGTGCAACGCAGACATTTTATTCTGTGAAACAAATGGAAACAACAAACGTTTTTTGTATGTACAGGACTGTTGCAAAAGAGGTTTACAAAAAAAGAGTTATTTGAGTTTTACTATGATTATCTTTTAATACTTTTTGTCGGAGAGGTGTCGAATCAGGAAAACCTTCGCCAGTTCCTTTTTCTGACGTAGATAGAGAAGTTCATTCCGGAGCTTACCACTGTATTTACACCCTCCACCTTAAAAAGCAGAGCCTCATTCAGCTCAGATTGAGACTACAGACGGAGTTCATTCTGTCACAGAGTGCTAGGGGGTCGGATTGGAACTGGGCCAGTGTGATTTCCTCTCTCATCTCTGGTCACTCTCTGTCTACAGGTCTGCTGGGCATGGTGGCCCACATGATGTTCACCACAGCCTTCCAGCTGACTGTCAGCCTGGGCCCAGAGGACTGGAAGCCTCAGACCTGGGACTACAGCTGGTCCTACATGTGAGTCCACAGTCATTCACATCACATCCATTCATGATTCAGTTTCAACTGTCTTAGGGGAGATTATTAGTAATATTTTACTCTTCTTTGTGCCAGTAGGATTGTGGTGGACTAAACACAAACATTAAGATTTAATTGAAAAAACATATATTTTTATTAACAACCTTTATTAGTTTAATGAGAAAGGCCATACAAAAAGGTGTGATGTATAATTTTAAAGTACTGTATGTTTAATTATAATAACAAGCTGTGTTCCCCTGTCACACAATATGTATGTGTTGATTATGAAAAAAAGGGTGAATAAGTATTTAATATTTCAAGATAATAGCACATACTTATTTTTTTTTATTTCACAAAAACATGATTTTCCTGTCAGGTTCTGAATTATCCTTTCATATTATATTTGTATTGTTTATTAGTATTTGTCTATTATCTTCTCTCTCTGTCTTCCTGTTCTACTAACACCTTCTTATGATATGAAGTCCATATATTCAGCCCGTATGATGGTTTATCACCTCTTGAGTAGTTAATAAAATATAAAATAATGGATAAATATATGGATAAAAAGTAGAAAGGATCTCAAACTGTGTGTCTCTTTCTCTCAGTTTGGCATGGAGCTCCTTCACAGCCTGCATGGCGTCCTCCGTCACCACCATCAACCGCTACACCAAAACCATCCTGGAGTTCAAGCACAAGCGCAGGAACATCGAGAAGAACCTGAAGATCAAGCAGAAGCTGCTGGAGCTGGACTCCCCGGAGCAGGTGTGGGACATGTACATCAGCTCTGTGCCGAGCAATGCCGACGAGCTGCTGGATCTGTCGTCTAACGTCCGCAAACTCTCCAACACCTCCCTCTTCCTGGACCTCAACGACCTGCCCGACCCGCAGCACGAGGAGTACTGCTGAGGAGAGCAGGTGGCAGCTGATACATCAGCAGGTCATTGGCTGCTCAGTGTGGAACAATAATATAATTACCGTAAACAGCATGAGACCGAGGTGCTTGGTTACCCACAAAGTTCCAATCGTCAAACGGATAAGAGACGCTGTAAAGTTATCGAGGGCTTGTTAGCAAACGGTTTCAAAATCTAGCAGATAGGTAGCAACACCTTTCATTTGGAGTTCTGTTTCTGGCCAAATGTAAAACTCAAACATCTAATCTAACTAATAATGATTACTGTGTCTTAAGCTTCCTACATGTCTACCTATGTTCACTAAGCATTTTAGTACATTTGTGTTACAAGTTGAACTTTACATTTTGTTGGAAATTAGACATGGAAAATATTCTCCAAGCTCAAATGTAGTAAAAAATGGCCTCCAATATTCTATGGTCCTTAGTGGACACCACAATAATAGGGTATAAAAAGACATGGTTAACCATCAAAACGGTTTTAGGTGTCCTCAACCTTTTTTATGGACCACAGATGTTATGTTAAAAGATACAATTGGATATAATATAATTGTAGGTAGCTATCTTAAAACAGTAATAGGAATGCAACATGCACAGATAGCAATTTTATTTTGTTGACAATGTACTAATAGCTTACCGTATTTTCAAATCTAAATCCTGACGGGAGTGAGGAGGTAATTGGCATACTGGATCAGCAAAAATACCCAAGAAAGTATTAACATATAATTGTTATTAAGCCAAACCCTTATTTTTACCAGCAAATATTTTGTGGCACGGTACCACCCATCTGCAGAGAGTTAAGGGTTGAATGATTAGGGTTTCTACTTTCTTTCCTAGCATGTCTTTTTTGTAACATTAACATCAAATCAGACCTTTTTGTTATGATCAAATTGTCTGCCCACTGGTGAGGGTATGTTGAAACCAAACCAGGCAAACATCGTCTTAACCTCAGTGTGGGTAAAGACCTGTTGGGAGCTTAACTTTCCAAAGAATACAGACATAATGGAGAGGATTTCCCCAGCAGCCTGTAACCTTCTCCATCCCTCAGTTACCAGAAAGTCTTCTGTTCCTGCGGTTGCAAAGCACTCCAACAGGTTCCCCACTAAATCCAATCACATTAAGTTTAAATTGCAGGATAAAGGTCCAGCAGCGGTCTCGGTTGTTTACAGAAACTATACTAATGTCTCCGAATGGAGTTGGTGATGACGTATGGATGTTACATGTAGCACCTGTAAGGAGCAGTGTTGAACCGGACACCGTATAATCGGCTTTACTATTGCGTTAGTGTGTGTAAACTAACTGTATACCTCTTCCCAAGCAATATGAAGGGTCACTACTTAAACCCTGTGAGTTAGAAGGAGGGTGAAGCTGAGGAGATATAAACTGAGAGCGGAGATAACGCTCTATGGTGATGACTAGCCTCAACAACGGTCCTTCAGCTCTTCCATTCTATACAAGCACACTCTTAAGACCCTCAAGCCTCTCAGTTAGCTGTCCTTTGGATTTGATTCATTGAGGAAGAAGTGTGTCCATTCCTCTCTGTGGCTCACTCAGCCAAATATACACATTGTTTAATAAGGAGCTCCTCACATTGATTCTAATAAGGAATAATGATACACTGCCTCCAACCCGAAATATGAACCAAATAGCATTCAGTAGCTTAAAACACCTCATCAGGTGTTCATCCCTAGATCACACTGGTACTTGTCTTGCCATGGAAGGAATGAACAGAAGGTGTACCTGAGGACTGTAGCTCCACCCACATGAATATATAGCTGAGTGTAAAGTGTTACATGGGTGGGGGGTGCCTACAGGCCATGCTGAGTGCCTTTACCTACAGCAGCGTGCTTCTGATCCAACAGCATGTCACCGTTTGAAAAGGGCGATGCTGTTCCTCCGACTAATAACTGCTTGAGAGGAAACATGTAGCTGTCTGTGCAAACTGCCAAAACTCATCAGCGAGAGCCCACTCTTTTAAACCTCTTTACGTGAAGGGGAACTTTTCTTATGTATATTTACACAAATAGTATTCATGAAAAACCAGACCTGGAATTTTGCAATTTACTGTATTTTAAGTGCATTTGTAAATGTATATTATGTTTATTGATATGTTCAACTCAAAGTGAAATGTATTGTAGACAACTTAAAGATTTATTCTGATTCAGTTTATATTTGATCCTTTGTTGCAATATATGCTGACGCATGGATTGTTGTGTCTTTTTGTGTATGTCAGATTTGTTTACGGTGACACTTTTTGTGTAGTGTTTCTTTAGTCCATTTTTGTTTTTTTGCAACCTAATATTAATATAAATACATTTATATGAAAATATATTATTTAAAGGTGAAGGAGGAGAGAATATCATAATAAAGAAGCAGCTTGTTTTAATGTGTTTTCTTCTAGACATTTCCTTGCACTCCCTCTGCCGTCCACCAGATGGCGGTGTTCTCTTACTCGAGACATTACAATAACTATGTTTCTCTTTAAGAAGGCAGACTTACATTTTTCCTGTGAAAATACATCTTTCTTGTTTTTATCTTCATCTAAAAGATGATGTATACACACAGGACTGCAAATACCAGAATGTGTTTTGTTACAGATTGAACTATTTCATTGTAATTTACCTCTTTTATATTAGAATCAGCCAAACAAATTAACAGTATAACTCTAACTAAATACATTTCCTTGGTAATATAACAGGACCCACTTTTTTGCATCTTTTCAACAAGGCACTTTGTAGCAGTTGTGTACAGTAGTAGAACATCTACTGAAGTACTGTACTTAAATATAATCTTTGGGTATTTTTAGGTAATTTAAATATCTACATTTTATACTATTTGTACCCCACTACATTTTGGAAGCCAATATTGTAATTTGTACTCCACTACAGTTATTGGACGGCTTTAGTTACTTTACAGATTCAGATTATTAGCTAATACAAAATATAAAACAACTAATAAACACACTTTTACATATATGTATAGGTTAAGATAGCAGCTGTGATGGAACTCATTAATGCATCAATAATCATGATTCAGTCAATTCAAATATATGATTCTGAAATGGACCATTACGCTTAATAAGTACTTATACGTTTGGTACTTTAGGTATTTCTTTGTGCCACTACTTTTGTTCTTTTCGTTAAGATGTTGTAATGCAGGATGCAGTATTTTTACAATCTGAGTACTTCTTCCACCTCTCGTTTGTAGGTCATTATCTATAAATCAAGCAGTTCTAGATTCGCAAAGCAAATACACTATAATATTGTTCGTATTTAGCATTAACCATACCCCACTCATTAAAGCTCAATGAAACCTTATAACAACAGCATTTGATGACAAACAATAAGAAAAATGGGAAATGTAAAAAAATCAACACAATAAATAAATTGTAGATCCTTTTTTGCTTGAAAATAATTTAATCAGTATGCTTTCAAACTAGTGCAAATACATGCAAACTGAAAACAGACAACCCTGTATCATCTCACAGTCACACAGTGAGATGATACAGGAGGACCTCGTGGTTGGACCTGCTCTTGTTGTGGTTGTTCTCCAGTGGTCCCTTTATTACACTCAAGGTACAGTGTGGGGGGTTAGCAGTTGGGTGCTACTCTAAGTCTAGCACATAAAAGTGCCAATAGGCGAGGAAGCAAGTGATCTACACCCGCTCCCATACATCCATCTATCCACATTCATTATTCAGGAATACAAAACCACTCAGTCACAGCTCGTACTGTATGAAGACTCTCTCTCACCCCTCTGCTGCTCGCTACATTAAAGATTCATCCCCCGTTTTTGGAAAAATGCTTGGAGTATTATACTCAAAGTGTATGCATTGATTGCCCGGTTTTTCTTAACCAATGAGACTGGAAACAAAGGAGAAAAAGAAAGTTGGAAATTCAGGAATGTGAAAATGCATCATTGTGCCACTACCAACTTGTTCATGCAGGGTTAAACTGCAAACCAGATACGCTAATGCTACACTGCGTATTCCACTATTCAACTTTCTACAGGTGTAACCGACAGCAGCCATGTTTCATGACCAACTTTGCACAGACACGTCTTTTTAACCACCTGGGATAGAAATAAGTAGCCTAAAGCTGCATTGACATGAAACGCTATTTATTCCCCACTCACCCTGAGGTTGGGCACAGAGCATTGCTGTGAAAATAAATTAAGTTAAGATTTGTTTCTATGGTTACAACCCCTGCTACGTAGCTTGCGTCGCTTCATTCAGCTGTAATCTGATTGGTTGCGTGTCGAAAGGTCAGCAGTAACGGGGTCAAAGTGGAAATAATCTGAATTTTGAGCGCAGTTAGATTGGTGCGCAACACCAAAAGTAGCTCTTCCGCCTGGTCAGGCAACACCGCTCTCTTCATAGAAACACTGCAACGCCAACGAAGAGACGGTTCATCATGTGAATGCTGCTCAACAAAACAAACAGTTGCGCCGGAAAAACTTTGTTCAATTCCACAAAAGCACATCTGAACATCTATGATAGACAAATGACTGCTGTCTTTCAAACACTTGGACAAGATGATGGATTGATTGATAGAGGTGAGTAAATTGACAAAGGGCTCTCATAACAAAGTCGCTGAGAAGTCTCTGCTGGTCAAAGCCTTGAAGTGGTTTTGTTCTCTGAATCTTTTGCACTCCATCTGTTTCTGTAAATTGCTCAGGCTTCTAACCAAAGCCAACACAACTCTTGATTCCAAACCATCATGGGTCACTGCCATCCAAAGTCCTGACCGGCCATCTGATAGAAGCGCTGGTTGTGGGGTTTGTAGAACTCCCTAAGTCTCTGCAGCACCTCCCGGTCGATGGAGGCGTGCATCCTCCCTTTAGTCTTCCCCAGGCAGTGAGGTTTACTGCTGCCCTCCGGCTTCTTCAGGCAGGGGAAGCCTTTGGTTTTGTTAAAGTAGAAGTGCTTGTCTGTGACAATCCTCTGGAGACCCAGAAAGTCTTGGACCTTGCCCAGTTCTCCGGCCGGGTCAGAGATGAGCCTCTCCCCGCTGACCAGATGGATCTGGGTCCTGGGGAACCAGGCCAGCCAGCGCTCCAGGTGCTGGGCGTACAGACCGATCCACAGCGGGCTCCACAGAGAGTCGATCTCACCTGGAGACAAGACAGAGACACCAAGGCTCTTTATTCAAAATCATAATTTCCCCCATCCTCTCAAACCCTTACTAAATGTTGTATTTAACTAATGAGCGTTTTGCCTACAGTACAGGGTTAGGGTTTTGGCCTCGAAAAGCCGGATTTGCCAGATTACATATCCAGCTTTTCCCCTACTTCTTGGGGATTTTCCATACACTTCGCAGAAGGTCAAATTTAGGATCACGCCCCATTTTATTCCAATAAGGGCCAGAACAAACGAAGAAACACGAGTTATATATTTCTCTTGAAAATTCTACCAGGTGGTGTTATTGGACCATGTTTTAAAATGTCCTTTAAATACCTTCAACTACAGCATTATTAATCCTTACATTCAATAAGACCTTACAATTGCTCCTTACCCAAAGCTCCAATTGTTCGTTGAAAATCCTGATTTGTAGGTTTATCTGACACTAGCCCTAACCAGAAAATGCCATATTGGAATCCAGGCATGTTTTTACCAAAAATGTTAGTTCACCTGAAATGGGCTGCACGATTTGCAAAACCAATGTGTTTATTTTGGCTGATATTGCAACTGTGATTTTAGAGGGAATTATCACTTTTGAAACAATATTTACATTTACTTTTCTGCAGCTCTACAATACTTATTTCAGAATGATATTGTGAAGATATATTGCCTTTAAAATATCTTACAATTACCAGTACCGATTTGAATATTGCACTAGTCCATAGTTTCATATTTAAATATTTGAATATTTAATATCAAATATTTATAAGCCTACATTTGAGTTTGATAAGGTTTGATCATTTCAGACCTGAGATCATCTCTGGTCTCTGTGCTGGCAGACCTCCGCAGCACTTGGCTGACATGGAGGCTGGTCAGCTTGATCCTCTTCACCTGGGCTTCAGCTCTGAAGCTGCTCCATCTGCTCTCACTTCCTGCAGCTCACATCCAACTCGCACTGCTGCTGCACCTTTATTGCTTCACCTCCACAGCACAAATGCCACACATCCAAGTCTGGTTGATTTAGCTGATTTCAAAAAGTAATTGTTTGTTTGATTTAAAGGAAAATGTAATTGTATTTAGTGGCAGATAGATCATAGATTGCTAAATGTTGCCAAAAGGTTGTGGATTTCAATCAAATGAACACCCTGTCACTCACCTCTCACTTTCCAAGACTGCGGTAACATAACAACACACAGCAAGTGCAAAATCATGGTATCGCCATTGTGTCTTTCTGGAGCTTTGCGTCTTTGAGCAGCCATCATTACCGTTATAACACTAATTTAAGAGCAACACAATTCAGACAAGTGTACAAACATAGTGATGCAAAATGACAGACTCTGTGGAAGAGGGCTGGCTCCCATGTAGATATGATGGTCTCACTCTAAGCTAATGTACAGGTTTTTTTGTTTCAGCTGATTAAAAAATTGTCTTTAAAATTATATTCTATTTCTGCTAATAGATTCCTCCACACTGGACCTCGTGTGTTCTAACTATAACCTTGTATGCACTCGCTTCTTGTCACATTCCCTGAGTCTGTTTTGTAAAACGCCTGTTGTGTAATGCAGCTGAGTTGTCTCATGCTTCTTGCCTTTAAACCTGCACTTGGGATTGTTTGCCGGTCAGTGTTATGTATTGGATGTTCTTGCCTACATTAAGTAGTTGCAGAAGATCATTGTAGAGACTAAGAGGGAACAAACGGAGTGATACATCTAAAAAGCTCAAGGGTCAATAGCCAGGAAGACCCCATGTTTGTCTGTTTGATGTGATGTCGTACGGAGTTCATGCTCCAAACAGCGGGATCAATACCGTTAGTGCGGTTCTTGAAGGCCAGGCTCTCGAAGGGGGGGATGTCGGGGGTCTTGGAGATGATCTGTGTGTAGTCAGATATGGCTCTGGTCACGGGGTCACGGACAACCACGATCAGCTTCACATCCTTCGACATGGCATGGACTCGTGCTGGCGTTTCCACGGTGACAAAGTAACGAGGCGTTTTCTCCATCACAATCTGACCGTCCAGGGCCTTGGGCATCATACTTCTGAACACACAGAAAGGAAATATTGTAAAGAGAAACTGCTAGCAAAATATCAATTAGTAAGACAGAAGATGGTATTGATCTGGTTAAGATTGAAACAAATGAATCTCAGTATATCAACAATATATTGATTTGAGGTAAAAATGAGATTGAAGATGTGGTTTTATTGGTGTACCTTTCCATCAAACTGACATATTATAGTACTATTACATACTATACTTTTTGTAATTCACCAGAGGTGGGAAGTATGGAGTACAAATACTTCGTTACTGTACTCAAGTACATTTTTCTGGTATTAGTACTTATTTTTCTGATGACTTTTTACTTTTACTTCTTACATTTTGAACACTAATACCTGTACTTTCTACTTCTTACATGTTGAACACAAATACCTGTACTTTCTACTTCTTACATTTTGAACACTAATACCTGTACTTTCTACTTCTTACATGTTGAACCCAAATACCTGTACTTTCTACTTCTTACATGTTGAACCCAAATACCTGTACTTTCTACTTCTTACATGTTGAACCCAAATACCTGTACTTTCTACTTCTTACATGTTGAACACAAATACCTGTACTTTCTACTTCTTACATGTTGAACCCAAATACCTGTACTTTCTACTTCTTACATGTTGAACACAAATACCTGTACTTTCTACTTCTTACATGTTGAACCCAAATACCTGTACTTTCTACTTCTTACATGTTGAACACAAATACCTGTACTTTCTACTTCTTACATTTTGAACACAAATACCTGTACTTTCTACTTCTTACATGTTGAACACAAATACCTGTACTTTCTACTTCTTACATGTTGAACACAAATACCTGTACTTTCTACTTCTTACATGTTGAACCCAAATACCTGTACTTTCTACTTCTTACATGTTGAACCCAAATACCTGTACTTTCTACTTCTTACATTTTGAACACAAATACCTGTACTTTCTACTTCTTACATGTTGAACACAAATACCTGTACTTTCTACTTCTTACATGTTGAACACAAATACCTGTACTTTCTACTTCTTACATGTTGAACCCAAATACCTGTACTTTCTACTTCTTACATTTTGAACACAAATACCTGTACTTTCTACTTCTTACATGTTGAACACAAATACCTGTACTTTCTACTTCTTACATGTTGAACTCAAATACCTGTACTTTCTACTTCTTACATGTTGAACACAAATACCTGTACTTTCTACTTCTTACATGTTGAACCCAAATACCTGTACTTTCTACTTCTTACATGTTGAACACAAATACCTGTACTTTCTACTTCTTACATGTTGAACACAAATACCTGTACTTTCTACTTCAAACAGGCTGGTTCCTTTAGTTTGAATGTGTGTTTGGTGGCGTGATCATTATTATTTAGAGTCATTGCGTGCCTATTGATTTGAACACGATCCGTGTATCCATCATTTCCTGGTCTTCTCTAAAGAAGAGGGACCAATGAAAACGTTGTCATGTTGCCGTTGTTCAGCATGGAAACATTCATTAGCTAACAATGACATTATTGTTCTATTAATATAAAGGGAGGTCAGGTACTCTTTAAAACAGCTGCTAGTTATGGGTACTTTTTACTGAAGTACATTTCGAAGCCCATACTCCTTTACTTTTACTTGAGTAAAGAAGTTTAGTCAGAACTTCTACTTTTAGTATTTTTAAATACGAGTATCTGTACTTCTACTTGAGAAAAGGATGTGTGTACTTTTGCCATCTCTGTAATTCACCATAGCTTAACTACATTCATGACGTTGACAGCTGTGTAACCTACACTCTAAAATCAGTTACTTATCTAAAACTTAAAGAACAGCAACACTTTCCAAGCCTTTTGAGAAGCGGGATGAACGTGCATATTTTGAGTTGGTTAAACTTGCTAATGTGGTTTGCCTGAATGTGAAAAAATGTATATCCATGCACATGTGTAATGCGTTCGAAAGAGTACTGGAGGTCTAGTCCGTGGTGCTCTGTTGCCTTAGATTTGTGGGCGGGGCATGAACGTGACGTTGACATACACATTTTATTAAGTTTTGCAAAACCAATTTATCATAAAGTTTAATAAAAGCAACTTTTATTTCCAAAAATGATAGTAGACAAAAACGGTTGCAGTTTTTACTTCAGTGCAACCCAACGCACATTTAAAGCAAAATATACATTTGAAAATTAAGTTTGGCTTGACAAGGCAAGGCAAGTTTATTTACATAGCACAATTTATCCCAAGACAGTTCAGTGCTCTAGTGCTGTACCAAAAATATAGAAACATTTTAATGTAGTGCAACATAATCATCAATGAAATACAATTAGTAATACTGTTTAAAAAGTGGAATAGTTTTGGAAAACAAAGTCTCCCAACATCTGGTTTCTTACCAGCTGAGAAGATGGTTAGCCCGTCTAACGTAAATAATGGATGAATTGAGTAATGGTAAAACAAAATGAAGGCATCTGTTTCTCCTTTCTTTCAAGAAATTATGCTAAAACAATTATGCTAACCATTACCTTGCTGTCATCCATGTTTAGTCTGATGGACAGTTATGTGATTATTTTCTTGTCTACCTCTCACCAAGAAAGTGAATAAGTATCATTTACAAATTGTAAAACTGACACTTTATAACTGATTTAGATGGAAAGAAGTTGAAAAGGTTAAGATGCATAGCGTATAAATATGTTACTGTAAGTGGGGTTATTCTCTGATGCCTCTAAAGTGCCTTCGGAGATCACACTCCATAATACAACCCCACATTCGTCACTTTGACAGACGTCACACTCTTTCAGACAGAGTGTCCATACTGTGATCTCCAGTGATCCCCACACACACGCAGGTGACAGCCGTGCTGCACAAACACACACAGGAGCCTTCCCTTAACTACGCCCCGCTCACCTCTATCTCCACCCAGAAGCCCAGCAGATGGGACTCATTTAGAGATAAACGACTCCAGAGGGTCCACAGGAGCGGCTGGGGACCCTCTGGACATCTGCTCACACACCTGCCACACACACACCTGACTGACTGACCGAACACACACTCAGCCTCCGCAGTACGCTTTCAAACTGCTCTGTATCAGCATTTAGACCTCTTTAAATGGAGCTCAAAGGCTTATAGCAGTGCATGCTGTACAGTGTCTGCATTGGTGTGGACCTTTAGGCTTTCAACTAATATGGATTTATAAATAGAACATTTCAACTCCAAAAACCTCCAATGACAAAAATCTTTTTTTTTTACAAGAATTTGTTCTTGAATCAATGTTTTTTTTTTTATAAATAAACCAATATAAAATGTTGAAACTAACATCACCCAAAGTCCGAATATGCATATTAAATGTCCATAATATTGCATTTGTCAAACAACACTTTAAAAATGTTGTTTTTTATGTATTTGTTCCCCTACAGCATGGGTCGGCAACAGGCGGCCCGCGGGCCATTGTTGGCCCGCCAGCAATAATATTTGGCCCGTAATTTTGAGAATAAAAAATAAAAAAATATTTTGAGATTTTTTTTTTTTTTTTTTTTTTACAACATTGGACCGACAGTCGCACATATAGGCTATAATGTCCGAATAGAGAATCTACCTACACCTGAAGAATGCTTATTGTACTTTTATCTATGTTGAGAATGAATGACATACAGCACAGGCACAATCAGGCAGCGGGGTGCACTTACGTCAATTAAAGTACTTATTTAAAGGACACCTATCATGCTATATTTAAATGATATATTGTAGGGCCATACCTATATAAGGTATATTTATACGTTTCTGTTTTCAAAATACCAAACAGATCATGCATTTTAGCCATGCCTCATTTCACTCTATTTGCTGTTCTCCAGCCCTGTTTTTGCAGGGGGCTGATACTGTGAGCTGCAGCTGACCACGCCCCCCTGCAGGAGGGGAGCGCGCTGTGATCAATTCAGAAGAGGGGGAGAAAAAGAGATCTCCGTCCTCCGTGTTTTATTCTTATATTATTATATAGAGTCGTTATTCATTTGTTTTAAAGCTCATTAAATAACAAAGAAGACCTTTGACCGGCACTTTTCTAATTTTGTCCGGAAGATTTAAACTTTAACGGACATGTTGACCGGCGAAAGAAAACCTAACTGAAACTCTGCCGCACGGTCCCCTCGTTCCTTGGAAGAGGCGGAGAGGTGGGTGTTTGTCATCTGCTGGTGGACTAACCGGAGAGAATTACAGTGCTTGCCTCGGGGAGGGAGAACAAAAGCCACAGCGGAGAATAAACAGAAGGGTAACCATGGCAACTATGCGCTGGAAGTCTTCTTCGCTGCTTTTGTGGCAGACTACAGCGCCACTTACAGGCCTGGCATATGTACTACAGCGTCTCCAGCACTTTCGAGCGGCAATGGGCGGCCGTGGCCCAACCCCACATTCCCCTGATAGGTGGAGAGTTGGCCCAATAGCCGTAGCACCACCGTCCTGACGTCAGGACAGTGTTAAAATCTGGATCAGTTTTTATCAGATCCGTTGCAGCCCCTTTTTTAGAGATTTGGGTATGGAGGAAAATAGAGAGGGTTGTGTTTTCTGACACTTGGTGAGTTCCCTGGAACACCGGGGACACATATTCATGTATAAAAGACGTACAAAAGTGCATTTTGCATGATAGGTCCCCTTTAACTATTAAATACATTGAGTTTGAGTAAAATACTTGGTTACTGATTAATTTAGGTTATAATATATTAAATAAATTGCAAAGCAAAACATGCTGTAATTTATTTATTTAGTATTTTTTTAAAGGTTTTCAACCTGAAAGAATCCTAATGTGTCCTTGAAAAGTTGAAATAAAGAAAAGGAAAAAGGATTCCAGTTGTCCATGCGTCCTCTGTTGCCCCTCAAGCCTCTCAAATGTGGGCAAACACTCAAATAAATGCCAAAAACCCAGAGAACTTGACAATACTTATCAGAATAAAAGTATGTTAAATAACACTGCTACCTAGTTAATAACTCACTCAGTGGAGGCTCGTCCATTGAAGAAAGGG